GAACTCATAAGAATGGATAGCAGGTGTCGGTTGTAAATTATCGTCGGCAGTCGTCCGAGAGCGGCTTGGCAAAGAATCCCACTAAGGTTATTCCTGATTCAGGTCACCGAAAATTCCGCCCGCTTCCTGCGGCAAGCGACGCTCGCTCGCGCATCCGACCGATGCGGTGTGCCCGCGTTTATCGTTTCGCAGGATTCGCAACCGAATCATAATATCGTCGACATAGCCCTCGGATGCGGACGCGTTCGAGACTTGAATGCCTCTCGGCCTAAGCCACCCACTAGAAGCCGACCCCAGCTAACATCGTACGACGCTCATCGTCGTAGATTCTAAACCTTGGGGCTGTTCTACCTAGCTTAGATATATGTTGGTGGATACCTACAAGGAATCTCAAAGATTTCAAACGCTTGAAAAAGTTTTATTTATCTTTGTTGACTATACCTCGAGTGTATGAAAGGATTTTATGCAAGGTTATCATATGATACGTTTTAGATAAGTTTAGATTACAGTGTAATTAGTTATAATAACACTTTCGGAAGATTGTTTGTATTCACTTGGTATATTCAGCGGAATTCATTTCATTCCGGGTCTATTATTAGACGCTCCGACCACGTCACCGGGACCTTGTCCGACAAGCAAAACACCTAGGGGCAAATTATCTATTCCTATCCTGGTCGTAGATTAACATTATGGATGCGCATCTCGGAAGTAAGAATCAAAATGTTGTAACAAACAAAAAATTAAATTGTTATTATATTTAATTCATAGATAATGTCAGAAATAAATTAGGTTTAATTATTTCTTAAATTTCGCTTTGTGCAGATCTTTTAACGTCAGATTTATCGCTTGATTATAAAGGATTTTCCGAAAATTGAATTCCAACTCGATGATGTACGAGATTTTCGACTGGTCGGAGAATTTTTGGAACTTGCACGAGCGGCTGTACGGACAATTAAAGATAATTTAAATGCGAAAAACTGTTTTTGGCCCGGCGTATAAACGCGCCGTCGGTAAGAGAATTGCAAATCCCAGCAGGATTACAAAACGGCAACGCGAACGAATGAGCAAAGCGCGCGACGACGTTTTTCGCCCTGCCACGCAATGCGAGACTTCGGCACGACGCGCGCCGGCTCTACGAAAGCAGCGGAAAAATCTGAATTTTCATTATGAAACTTGGACGAACACTTTCGCTGGGCTTGAGATAAAAAAAAGTACATCCGACGATTCAATTCGCTTGCCTTTCTGCGTTTCCGCGTGCGGGATGGTTAAGCGCATGCAATCAGTGAAAGCAGAAACACGATAGACGCGAATGGCATAAAAGTAAGTCACCTAAGTGTCCATTTCAAACAGTAGAGTAAATTGTTTTAGTCTAAAACAGGGTTTTTTGGAGTGTATTCTACAAAATAGGAAGTTTTTTTTATAAAACTTGTAACAGTATCTGCCAACAATCAAAAAACTTACATATAAAAAAAACAATCGAAGTTTCTTAATTTCGTTTGGATCCACAATAGTCATATACTCGCTGAATTGAGTTTCTGGGTTGTCATTGCGTAAGTAATAAATTAAACTTTACTTCCGGATTTGTAAAATAATCTATTAATTTACATGTCTATAACTGTTGACACGATTGAAAAAATTACAAACTTGTTGTTAGCAAAAATTTGGTCATAAGAGAGACAAAATGCGGGGCGATAAATCTTATCGCCGTTTTTCATTGCGCTGCTATAACGCGCGCCGTGGACGAACAGTGTGGGTAATTAATTAAACAACAAACTCGCAAAGCACCAGCACAACCGATAAGCATCTACAGCATTAACACGTACGTCCGCCTTGGCTTTACGCTTAAACGATGTTTCGATTAAATCAAGCGGTACATTATAACATCCTACTTGGGAATATATGCACAGCACAGCACATGAATAAATGACAATAAGTCCTTTTTTACTCGCGAAGCTTAATAATATCAAATATATAAACAGGTCAACACTTCTTGTAGTGTTAACTGAATCACAACACCACCATATTGCAAATGAAGCTAATAACCACTTTACTGAAACATTGTGCTCGAAAATAACAAAAATAAGAATAATAATAACAACTAAAGTCGTTTAGAAGCGGTTTACAAAGAACAGTTGAAAAAGTATTTCCTTCGTAAGTAGCCATCAAGTAAACGAGGCAAGTATTTCTGTGCCGAGAAAATCATTACGCCAACTTTGCATATAATACACGCGCATACACAGCGTGAAAAGAAGAGAAAAACCCTCTCCACTAACTTCTTAACTCCTCAATAGGTTTGTTGAAAGTGTATGAATGGAAAAGTTTGGCCCCGTCCAAGCTTGAGATGCGAGATAAACCGACGCGACTGGGACTTTTGCGCATCCATTATCTCGAACCATTTATTTCCATTGTTTTTGTGACGCGGGTCGCTCGGACACGCGCCACGTCGCGACGATAACCATGCCATATTGTCCCCGGAGTTGATATGCGGACATGCGGTCCGAGCGCAAAACTGGAAAGTACTTTACTCATAGCTTCTTATATTATTCGAGTGCGTTTGACGGTCTTCTTGGGGTAGACTTTTATACGCGTCAAAGTGGATTGTGTGTGTCGTTGCCTTTCAGGGGATCTTCTTTTGTCGGTGCCACTCTTGGGTGTAGTTAGTTTCAATCTGCGTGGATGCTTCAAATGAATGCCTGGACCATTTTATATTGATTACTATTATGTGTCGCAGCGCTGTCGCTCTTAATACACTCGCTAAGGAGCAACGCCGACATTCTCTCCCTCTGAAACGACGCGGGCGCTCCAAGTAATAAATTATCCACAACGTTTTATTTTGGCGCTCGTTTTCTTTCTCGTTTAGCTGGCACGAAAGTTGTGCGCTAAGTTTTAAATAAATTTTGCGTGATTTTTCACTATTCCAAGTGGACAATGCGGGTGAATTATTTCGCAATGTTGGTTATGGAAATTGAGAAGACAGAAACGCGAATTCACCGGATAGAAAAAGTTCAGTTTACAAAGAATTGTAATTATGCTTTGTAAGCCTCGAGAATTAATATAAGATAAACACGAAAGAAGCGCACTTTGCATTTTATCGCTTCGAGAAGAAACTTCAAACGAATATTCCGCAACAGCGCTGCAATATCTGATTGTAACTTTGTATCTTTGCGTGTTTCTACACAAAAATTACTAATAACAAGTAATTAATTGAATTCTTCGCTTTTTAGCACAGTTTCGTTTGCTTTATTTCCGCAGTATTTTAATTAAATAGACACTTTCAATTTGATTTTGTCTAATTAGACGAAACGTAAATAAGCGGACGTAAATTAATTATTTCGAGGTGTAGAAAATGCAGGAATTCAAATGGAAATAATTGTAAGCAAATTATCTCTTTGTTTCTTTTCTGTGCTCACTTGCACCACCGGCGCAGGAGAGCCGGGCGAATCCTGATGAGAAAACACACAAAGCTGTGCTCGGCTCCTCTCCTACGAGGACCGTTTCGTTGAAGCAAAGCCAGGAAAAGGAACTATTAGGTTGCACAATTTTGTCTTTTGCTATCCGAAGATCAGTTGTTTCAGCTTGCTCTGTAATATTGTATTCCTTTGTTTCTTTGAGAATACTTGACTTGTTCGCTTTTTCTTTAACCCCGATATGAATTTTGTAGCACTTCCAATTTCTTGCGCAATGTAAAATGTGCAAAACTACATAGTTTGCTTAACTCGTTTTTTCCTTCGTGCAAATATTAATATTCTATGACTTTGAACAGTTTCTTCGTCGTATGTATATGTTTATTTTACGTTAAATTGTTCTTCTTTGCGTTAGCCTCGTTAGTAATAGTTTTGCGCAGTTGGAAGTTGTGTGTAGCTTGCCGTTTTTGGTCAGATAATTTAATAAGAAGAAATTTCGGTGTTCAAAGCGAACAAAACTAGCGTTCTAGCGTTCAAAGCGCTGCTCGTCAAGAGATCCGTTTCGGATAGCGCGTGGTTTCGTAATTAGTATTCTGTTATAATTAATTAAGAAAGTTATACGTCGCTCATTGTTGAACATTTGCCAGCGCTTTGGTTTCTATTTCTCTGACACGGATATTAAATATCTACATGTGGCTATACTCGAAAAATAGAACATCCCCAATTTGATGTTAAGCAGATTATTAGATAAAAAAAAGTATACGTTCATCCAAATTAACAAATTACTACGTCTTCCACCATTCAACTCTTCCGCACTGTTACATCTCACCCAAATTGAATAGCTGTTGAGCAATTGAGAATTTATGGCATCCGGAAATCTAGAAACTTGACAGCCGCTTGAAAACTCGCCACCGTTCGCTACTTTGTTTTCGTTCTTTTGTTTCTTATCGCAATCGCACGCCGGCTGCATTGCAGGAATGAGGCTGGCGAAAACCACTCGAAGGTCTGAAACATTGCTTGCTGCTAACGAAGGCGGAGACGACCGAGATGTGGCAATGGCATCGAGAATAATTATCAAATTGGAATTACGCCCGGAATTATAAATCATTTAAGCGAACGCAGAGCGCAGGAAGATGCGGAACGTATTCCGTAGCATTCGGTCTCAATTAGCCGAAACGAGGCGCGACGTTGGGAGCTTGAAGCGTTGCAAGCTGGTTTCCATCCCAGAAGGCAGAGACATTCTCGGTCATGTTAGATGTCTTCAAGGATTCCGGCTAGTTTTATTAACAGCGCCCACTAAGTGTTGCATTTCATTAGAAAAGTATATTTCACATCTGCGAAGAGTGTTTTCAAAAGACGCCCTGTATTTATTTGGAGACATCTCTTGAATGCGGTCGCTAGTCAAATAATCTATCATGATAATATGATTAATTCCAACCAAACTTAATCTACGTTTAAAAGATTGCTAGTAATAAAATTGCTCCAATTTTGTAACACACATTAAACTAAGCTAGAAAAAGTCCTAGAAAGCAAAAATCAAATTGCGAACGATGTGAAAGGTGAATGAATGTTTTTACTATGTGCACCAATAGTCTATTTGTTTTTTGCTTAGATTTTATTTGCGTTTTATGTGAAATAAAAGAGGAAACGCGTTTGGCGAAAATATTGAGAACGGTCTTAACGGGTCTTTTGGTTTTATGGGTCGTTTGCGAAAGAAATTGACCGTTTTGCTTTATGTAAAAACTTGCGGAGATTCCGTCGGACATCGTATAACTCAAATTTAATGTCCGCTTTATTCCTATGTTTAAATGTTTTCAAATCGCAACTATGAGATTATGTCCTACATTACATTTAAAGGACATTTTGTGCACGTGTGGTGATCGTCGGCAATTTGTTTCCAATTAATATCACCCTTGCACATTGTGACCGTTAATTGGGAACGTCGCGATGAAAACGTTGATCACCGTGATGAAGAACACGGCAACGAGCACGAATTTATTGCACAGGTCCGTGTATGGATGCTGCGCGTGGTGATCTTCGATGTGATCGTGATAACCTCTCTTGCCGATCCATATTAGGCTAATGCCGACGATTAGTTGCAGTAGAATCGATATCATTATCATCGCAAAGACAAAGTGATACGTCTTCGAGTTGCTGTTGAACTCGATGATGTATCGTAGTTGATTAGCGTTTGCTGTTATCAGTGCAACATCCATCATTCCTAATAATATAATATTAAACGTTTTTTTTATTTGTTTCAGGTGTCTGAATTTGCTTGTCGAATGGGTGAGTGTTTTTTATTTAATTATTTACCTTGAACTAGTGTTTTCTTGAAAGCAAACGCGTTTTCATTATTATTGCCGTCAACATTATCATCGTCTGATTCGTAATTTGATAAAACATCCATATTGCTTCCCATTTGTGATGGTAGAGCTTGACTATTTCTTGTCACTCGCTTCATCTCAGTGACGTCTATATGAGACACTCTGTGTCCTTCAGTTTCGATACTGTTTGCAGATGCTTCAACACCAATCTCGGCTGTAAAATAAAAAATATGGCTCAATTCTCAAAAGGTTCTTGAACATATTTTCCAAAAACACTCACCGGGAATGCTATCCATGTTGCTTGTACACACCTAGACGACGTCTCAATTGAATTTCAGATAAGCTTGTCTCGATTTTCGCGACTTTTCTAAAGTTTCTAATATATTTTGTTTGTTGGGTTGTTTGTTGTTCGGGTGCTGCACTCCCTCTAGGGATAGAAAGCAACCGTTTGTACATGCAGACGCGAATGAGAATCGAATTCAAATGCGAACTACTTTCTTTCGGATGGAAAACTCCAAAGGCTTGGCTGCGGCTTCCTTTTCCGAATCAGCTGTGTGTGCGTAGATGTTGTTGCTCGTCGATGTTTCGGTAAATATTTACTATGGTTTTACCCTTGGCTTGCTGACAAGCCCGACGATATAAAAAGATAGACGCAACCGCAGATACATTTCGAATACATTTCGATAGGCGTGTTGTACGAGTGCGTTTGGCAATATGTGGTGAAAATCGAGCGGTGGTGAGCAGATAGAACATATCGGCATGGCATGTTTTTGCGGAAGGCGATAAACCATCTGTGGTCCCGTTTCAGTGCGATTTTATCGCCAGAAATATACTGATTGCGACAATATTACAGAAATGCAAAAAAAGTTAAATTAGTATCAAACCTACAAGTGACACAAAACAATGGCTAGTAATGTGAGCAACTTCAAGTGATACATACACGTTAAACTTTAGAAAAAGTAGACGTGGAAACTTGTTATTTCAACATCTTGTATAATGCAATATATTTCTATAGTCATTTTGCTTCTCAAAATGCATTTTAACAAAACAATTGTACTTTTGCCACAGGAAACATTCAACATGATAGTACAACATTTCTATTTGAGTCAATTTAGTACCCGTAAATGTTAATATTGTTTGAGATCTTTAACCAAACGTTTCATCAATTGTTTTTCTTCTTATTTATACTTGAACTTTTAAAATTGAATAATATATTTTTACACTGCATTCAAGGATAAGAATTATCCTTGGCCGTACGTTGATTTAGATTAGTTCAAATAATTCTGAGTTTATAGTTATGGCTCGCGGTCTGTAGTAAAACCCAACTCATCTCGCTGCTGCTCAGATGCTTCGTAAAATGCACTCACTCACTTTCCGCGTCTAGGATACGGATAACGCCGTGGTTGGAATGATAGCACCGCGGGCATACTAAATGCTAATGCATAACCATGCCCTACTAACGAGAGACGGATGGTAAAAAAATAATCGAGGACGCAAAAAAGTGCATAAAGAAGCGAGAAAACACTTGTATTCATTCCTGCTACTTTCGTCGCCGTGTCTTCTTTCATCTCGGCCCGGAAGTGTCACCACGGCACGAAAAAAAGAAAACAGAATGCTCGGAAAAAGTCTCCGGCGAATGGCCGGGGATTTATTAGGGTTAATAAAGAACTTTTGAGCGGGCGCTAGCGTCCCATGCGCAGCACTAGTATAATGAATGTTTCAGGAAGTTTAATAGAAAATAGGAAACATAAAAGCGTCAACCTAGGAAAGTTTAAAATTTTTATAGCGTATAGTTAAATGAATAATATTCCAAGTTTGCAAACTATTATTAAATTATAATTAATACAAACTGTGGCAATTAATGTTGTTGGACAAGATCGTCACTAAGCGTAAATATGAATAACACTTTTTATTGTTTCCGGTATAAATTGAAACGACGACAGGACTAATTTATATAACCGGGATATTTATAAAGATTATGCACTCGTACCGCAATCTTGCAAAAATTTATTTAGCGGAACATAATTTATTAGGGTGTTTTTCATTTTTTCATTTGTATTTATTTTTATACATTACATAAATGTATCTAAAAATATTCTGCAGATTCTTGCAAAATTATTGACCTTTTCGAAGAAATTTGTTGATTTAACAGTAAAATAAGTGATGAGCTTTTCATATTCATCATTAAATGATTAATTAAATTTTGTGTTCCTGCTTTATTTCGTTATGAATGAAAATTAAACTAATATACACGTACGTTTCTCATTACTTCTGTATAATATTAAATTTAGCCGAATTTATTCAACCATGCGAGCACAATGCTTTTCATGCTTAATTACATTCGTTTATCATCTTACATTTGCTCATCGTGATTTTCGTGAATTTGCTTCAACACCAGTAAAAGTTAATTGAAAATTTTTAAAGCTGTTTAGCATGGCATGTTCTTAGCTGCTTATGTACGAGTATTGACGCTGTACGTACTCGTACGAGCGACTCTGACGTGACAAACTAATAGGTCATTTTGTTTAATACCACTTAATTCCGTCTAAATACGACTTAATAAATTTCATTAAAACTTGCCGCCAGTTTTGCGGTTGCGCTTGCGACGCGTTCGCACTTCTATTCTTTGCGTTTCGTCCGGGAAATTTACGTAGACGTCGACGTCGATGTCACCCGAGTTTCCGGCGCGGCAGTCAAGTCGAGTCGTGTTTGAGGTCGGGCCAGTTAAGCGAGTTTAGCTTCGACGTGTATATCCCGGTCGCAGTCGATATGCAAAGAAGTTTGATGTAGTCGCAGATGAAAATGAACGAACAGAGGGGCGCGTCACGGTGGAAAATTCGGGATTCCCAAGCGCGCTCGTTCGCAAAAATTGAGTTCCGAACAACTCCAGTCAGCCAGTTCTTATTCTTGCACGTAGTGTGCCCGAGCTGGGGTCTAACCGGTCGCTAAAGACGATTGAACAACTTTGCTACGTAAAGTGTGATGCAATGCACCAAGCCAAGATGATGGTAGGAGGTTAGAGGGAGAGCTAGTTGTCTGGAAGGATGAACATTGAAGGAGTTGAAGCCGTAGTTAATAATTATGCAAACTGGATAGGGTACGTGCAGCGTACAGACGGAAACAAAACCGTACTAGCAAAATATACAATAGTACAACTTTCTTTTCGGTAAAAATTGCTTAAAATTAAAATTATCTTTATTGATTTTAACAATTTAATTTTTATACTTTTCTGTAGTAAGTACAAAATCTACTTTAAAATTTTAACTCATTTCTTCAAACTTCTCGCAAAACTTTCATTATAATCCTGTGGATACTTCATTCATCGGTTAACCCAGCGCTAATTCAATGGTGATTTTGCTTCGATGGGATTGCGGCGTTTCTCCTTTCTGTATGGAAATTTAAAATATGTAAAATCCCTTTCGCTATTCCCGAATAGAGTAAAAATGTTTCGTCCGAGGATTCCACTTTAAAGTTTCGTCTTACATTTGCACCCAGTTTCATGCTCCTCCCGTTCCATGAACCTTTTACCACGAAACTTTTCGCATAATACCGCCCGAAGTCATATTCATGTTCATTCGTTGTTTTTAGAATAATTAGACCGTTCGCAAAGCTCGGACGGAACTAGATTTTCACCCTAAAATCAACTTACAACCTAACATGCATAATTCGCATGCTGGAGAGTGAAGAGTAAACATTGGAAATTTTGTTTGTAAATTTCCAACTCACGTACTTGATAAATATTAGCCGGTAGTAGCTCCACACACGCGTAGTTGGCGGAAACTGAAGATCGACCTCTGCGTGGGGCCGCGGGTTAAAATGAGTTTTGTATCGTTTAGCGATGCTTCGGCGTCATTGTTTAATGACGGAATTGTTTTTGACGTTAATTGGGGTCCCTTTAGTCCATTGCCGTGTTCCGGTTTTGCGGTTAGCTTATCACATTCGAAATTTACATAAACGCGTTCGGGCGTCCAGCATATCGCGGTAACTTTATTGCGTGCGCATGAAACACGAACGAAAGTGGTGGTTGAACGGCCGAAGCCGTGCGCTTTTTGCATTTTTCCACGGCGAGTTTCAGCGATTGCAAAGGGTGGCAAAAAGGGCGAGCACAACTTTGGGAAACTTCACTTCTGGCATCGGCGGTTTTTTTTGTGACCTCGACGATCGCGCTGGCGAAAAAATACGTCATATGATTATGAATTATGGCGCAAAGTTTTAAACGATTCTAAACGCTTTTTGGAAGTATTAAGTTGCGCATTTTTGCATGCGATTCATTAGCATTGAAATATTAAGTGCGCATTCAGGATTTATTTATTCAGTTAGGAAATGCTCGGAAAATAAAGAAATTAAAGTTGGATTTCTATAAAAGAAAAAAATCGAGTTTTTTGTTTGTTGTAAAAACCAATTCTCGTGATATTAATCTATTTTTTAACATCTGCAATGTATATAACAGGAAACAGACATTTTTGTAAATTAAAACTGTTTGAAACGTTCGTGTCAAAAGTTGTTCGTTTCGAAATTGCTATCATGCGCAACGTCAATAATCGAAAAATAACCGTATTCACTAAAATGGCTTTCCACACCATTTTTTTTGTGCATTTTGACGGCGGCAATTTTGCAAAATACCATGCGCAATTTGCCTATTGATAAACACAACTACACGTATAGATACGAACGATTACCTCGTTTATAGATACAGGTCAACGAATTACAAACATTGCGCACAGCAATCTACCGTTAGGGTGGCACGAAAAAAACAAACAGCAACAACGTTAAACACAGCCCAAACCCTTTCCATGCCTCGTAATCCATTAAATTGCTCTTTTGTCTTCATCGCACGCAAAAAAGCGCAGCGTTTCCGCGCTGCCACTGCGACATAGATACGAATGGGTGTTCATGGCGTCGTTTATATGGTGATTTGCTTTTTTGGTCGGTGCACGCTTGCGATCATCGCGTATTGTTGTAACGAATTTGCGCCCGCCATCCGAATATTGGCAAGCATCGCTCTTTCGGAATGCTGCGACGGTGGCGGTGGGATTTACGACGGATCTGATCTCGATACGTTTTTACATTTTTTTCGGCGCAGTGTTCACGTTTCACAATTTATTTATAAAACACATACGAGCGCTTACACGCATCTAACTCAAAGGCGAAACGAGTGCCGATTCCTTTGTGCCTTTTTTTCGGTACGTACAACAAATGAAAATTTGTGTTTGATCTTTACATGCATGTGCGTGCGGGGTTTTGGCATTTTAAATTGTATTTTTATTGATACTTCACAACTTTGAATCGAAATTAATTTGAAGCCTGGCACTTGCCATTTATTATTTAATTTTTTTGGAGATTTAAAACACTTTGTATATTTATATTCAGTATATGTCTTTTTTCTATAGCGGATATCTTTTTTATAAAGATGAGTATCATATACCAGGAAAAAATGTCTTGAATAAAAGTGATACTTGGCAGGATCAGAATACTTTAGGAAAAAAAAGTTTTTTTTAAGGGAGACATAATATTTTATCAATATTGTGTTTTTTTCTGGATTATAGAAAATATAGTTAGAGAAAAATGATCTGGTTT